CACCTAAGATAATTGCGTTTTAGGCAAGCTGAATTTACTTTTTTTGAAGTTTTTTGACTGCATTTTTGGTAAAAGCTTCTCAGATCATGATTTCATGTAATATGGACCCAAAAACAATCGGTGCACACATCAGTATACACACAGACACACACAGACATACAAATACATATAATTGACCTTGACCTAACTTGACCTGAAATGACCTCAGCAGCAAAATTCTGGTCGGGTAGTGTGACAAAGAGGTTCTAGCTGGCTTGGCACCAGAAGACAGCATCGTCATCGGTATTTGATAAGCAGCACACTTGATATCCAACGGTGACCCAAAACAGCAACATTTTTTAGTTTGACCTGACCTGGAAGGTCAATGACTGACCTGAGAAGGTAAAACTGGGTATCATTGGATTCGTCTCTTCCCAAAGAATCTTTTTGGTCTTTACTGCTAAGCTCTATCTCCAACAGGAACGAAATGGCGCGGGGGGGTGGCAACCACCCCCCCCCCCATGTGCGTTCTAGGATGGGAAAATGGCATGTGCGGGCGAGGGTTAAACTGATCGATCACCCGGCCATCGTTCTGATGTCCTGTATTCTATATCCTGAAAGCCTTGAGCCCGTATACCGGTGCCCGTTACCATCGGCCGAATCAGGTCATTATGTGCCGTCCCACCCCTATCGGTACGGGAGAGTCGCTGATGTTACACCACACTTGACCCAGACCCGCGGCAAGTTGGAATTTTCATCACCCACAATGGAGCATTGATTGAGGAGTAGTCGAGCGTCCTCAGTGATGATGTAGCTATGATATCATCTCAGGGACAGGCGGATCTACCTCAAATGTCTTACACGTGTCTGCATGTGTTCAAGGAACCTCTCGGCTCGGACACGCGTTGAGCAACCGCAGACATATCATTTTCATGCAGCTTAAGCAGCTGACGTTTGTCCCCGGACTAGAAGGCGACGTGCTTTGACACATTAACATATTTTACGGTAATGCCGGCTACGATTCCAGCTGAGTGAGCCAAGAAATCAGAAACCCGGCGACTCGACACGCGAGGTGGCTGCTTGGCTCTTTGTCCGACGAAAAACGTATGAAGTACTGGGCAACGGCCACACGCATACCATGTAACACGCATGCCATGTAGTACGCTTGAACAACAAGAGTCGTCGATGTAAGTATGCATTAACATTGCTTACACTGGTCTTGTTCCATATAGCTGGCTTTGTACCGCCGTTCTAGCGACCTTCACAGTTCACACGTCTGCGCGCCCACCTGTCATCCGACCTGTCATCCTGCCGGTCCGGCTGTCACGCTGTCACTCAGACGTCATGTTCACGTGGCGGATCAGTCACCCGACCTCGTCGGCCGCCTCTGAACTGAACACGCACAGCCTGACGCCCAGCACTCGGGGCTAATTGGTGCGGCCTGTTGGAGGGAGGTCGGCTGATCAGCGTTGGCTGGTTGAAGTGGGCGGTAGTCTTGGCCTGCTGATGTTGGTTTTGGTTAGGGGCTTGATACTTGACAGAGTATGCTGCCGCTGTGGTTGGTTATTGGAGAGGAGATCTAAAGTAACATACGAGCATTATCTCTTATTCTGGAAGCCTCAAGGAGTCAAGAACTCCAAGTTCCTTAGCCTGACTGGTCCTTAGTTTGACAGTTCCTTAGTGGTGTCCGGTCTTTACGACCGGTGAGGTGAAGATAGGGCGTCCAACTGTTCTCACAGTGCACACGTCTGTCTCTGTCTGCTGTTCAAAATTTATCCGCGTACATGTCCAGGCTCCAGCTGTCCACAACCTGTCCGCATATTTTGCCAGCTCGCCCGCCCGTCTACGCTTCTGTTCTGTTTCAAACATATTCTCAACCTATGCACCATTCACACCTGCTCACAAATTTCACCCATTCGCCAGCAGCACGTCGACAGTCCCATCTAATGTCATCTCACCATATGCCCATCACATCACATTGCCTCACTTATTCTTCAAGCTTTTCAGTAATCCGCGCAATGTCACTCGGCAGTACTCGGCACTTCGGCAGTATGCTCCTATCGAATTGGATCAGACGGTGCGGCTCGGTACGGTGTGAGTCTGTCAGGGGACATGTCACAATCACTCATCAGGCGAGGCCAGTCTGAGAAAGGCTCCCCGGAGACCAGGCGGACGCATTCCAGTCTGAGGCAGACTTCTCGAACCAGACAGACGGATCCACACCAGTCTGAGGCAGACTGCCCTCACGGAACACCCGACAGACGGACCTGGTCTGATGCTGGCTGTCTTAACCAGCCTACGTTCCCAGTCTGAGGAATGTGCCGGCCGTCTGAGGTGCGCCACGTTGTTCACACACCCTGCAGCTGATGCGCCAGATACGTCTACCTAACGGGATCGCGCGGCGCGGCGGCTCGCGGCGTTATTTATCAACCAGACGCGGCCGCTGCACAGTGGGCCGATATACCATTCTAGCGCGACAGGGCCTGGATCTTCGAACGGAACCCTTGGTTTTTCGCGAGTAATTCGCGTAAAAAGCGGCCGATCGCAACGAAACTTTCAGTACCCTCGCGATAACTACTTTTACAGCTAACCTGAAAATTTCATGACCCTGACCTTAATGATCTTTGACCTGTGACCTTCTTTCGAGACCATGTTTGGCCGGAATCGCGATTCAGCGTATGTCGGCTCGCATTAGCCGCGGGTTTGCAGTCTTTTCTTGGTTTAAAGCGTTCAAACATGGGATATTATGTTGCTCCCATGCATTAGGGTGGGTGTCAAGGTCACCGGAAGGTCAGGTCAGGTCATTGACCTTTGATGACCTTGGTTCACTTTTTCGAGTTTTACATGTTTCTAGGCTAGTTTTTTGGAGCTGAATTCGAATCTAGCAACCATTTGAACATTTACTATGTAGCTTTGGTGCCTTCGTAACATGTTACAAAGCTGTCAGAGGCGGTTGCCACCTACTTCAAATACCCGGCAAAACCCTTACTAGTTGACCTGACCTGACCTGATCCGACCTGGCCTAAATGTATGAAGACATCATCTATGATCGTAAATAATATTATATTCGTGATCAGCACCCAAAAAACCCATAGAAGCCACCTTTTACGACGTTCGAACAGGTCCCGATTTTCCCGACTTTTGGGTCATTGACCTGACCTGGAAGGTCAACCGATGACCTAGGACCTTACAATTGGGTATCATCAGCTTCCTCTTGTCACGGGCAACACGCTCGTCTTTTCCGCGAAGCTCTAGCTCGATCAGGGGCGAAACAGCGGGGGGTCCAACGGACCCCTTCTATACGTTCGCGGCTGGAAAAACACGACTAGGGGCGAGGGTTAAGCCAAATCTGAGGGCTTATTTCAGAAAGACCGCTAAAAGATTAATTGAATGCACTTTTCCGCGACGATGTAGCTCTATTGGTCCCCGAGGTAAGAGCCGGTTTTCGATAAATGTTGATAAATGCAACATTTTACCTTTGATGACCTCTGGTGACGTGACCTTTGACCTGACCTAGAAATGACTAATTACTCCATCTGGAATTTCGGGCGCTCTTTCGAATGCCACTTACTACGTGTCGCTATGTGGCCCAAGAGCCGAGTTAGAAGGGGAGTGTTCAATCAACACCTCCCGGCCCGGCGCGTTTGACGCCGAGCACCGGTCCGGCGCGGGTTGATGTTTGGCTGCTACATCCAAAGTCGCAAAAAGTCGCAAAAAATGACTGTTGGATCTTGTAGTGCAATGAATGATTGACATGTAGCGAGATTTTCGAAGCGGTACTCTGCGGTACTTTTTTTAAAAGTCTATTTGTGTGTGACATCAATTATGTGAAATTATATTTTCGTCTTTAAATATTTGCGGTGCCAATACATCATAACCAAGTAAGAGTTCGCCATTTTGATATGGTTATGTGTGTTCTGCAGACCCGGAGCTATCGTTTGATGTATATAAATGTGGAATTCCTCCTCAAATTGTGATTGTTTTCGTGGATCAAAGATACGTTGTCGAAGAGTGCGGGGGACGAGTTCGGTCCAAACGATTCCGAAGTTCGTGTTTAAGCTAAGTTTTCGCCATGAAATAGCAATTGTGTTGGAAAACAAAGACCACAGCAATGTAGTATGATCATTTCTGAACAAATTGGTATAGGTATCATTGCACATCCACAAAGTTCGATTTTTTTACCCATGTCGTGCTAGACCTGGCGATCGGCCCTGTGTGCGCTGGCGGCGCGCCACAGACGTTTATCGAGATCGAGCGTATTTTACGGGATGGGGCGGTACGCTGCACGGTGGTTTATTACGGCGTCCACAGGCGTAGGTGGGGTGAGTGGTGAGGTGTGAGCGACTGATACGGATCACCGGTATTTGACAACTGTCCACACCTGGGCAGCTGTGCTGCGTGTGATTGTGCAGGATGGTGCGGTGACTGATGGACATTGGGCATTGATGCCGACCTGACATCTGGACATGTAGCTTACTTACTGATGTGATTCATCGTTAGTTTTCATGTTTCGTTGTACAGGAACGCCGAAGGTGCTGGAACCGGGAATTGGATTTTAGGTCACGCTACATACATTACAGCTTCACGAAAGCGTAATATGATTAAACTAAACAAGTTTTGGGTGTGTCACGCATTCATATTGCATTTGCATTCAAGAAAGGGAATGTTTCCTCAAGGTACCTTTTCGTCCTTGTCTAGGATGATGCACGTAGCTCCCATTATCAAAACTGGCCAACGCGCTAGATGCGACGGTATTTTCGTAAGGTACTTAGATGAGAGGGGCGACTTCTTTCTTCTCCCCCATGCTGCACAGTTTCTTGACAGCAAATCATTGGGTCTGTATGCATCACCGCCCCATGTTCTTCCCTGTCTACCGTCCGCTGTGAGTCTCCGCGTTTCTCCATGTCTCACCACCTCACGTATCTCCACATTTTACCATTATTTCATATGTACTTACCCTCCTGTATGTGTCTCGTCTTTCCTGTATGTCTCACCATTCTCTTCTCTCTGTGTTTCCCCAGGCTTCCATGGACCTGCCGCCAGACAAGGCCAAGGTGTTGCGTCAGTACGACTGCGAGAGGAAGTGGGAGATGATATGCGACCAGGTGAGTGAGGATTCTCTGATCTCTGACGTCTGAGGCTGACAGAGATCATAGAAAAAGCAGAAAGAATAGCGAAGAAATTAGTCGAGGAAGTTGACCGGCTTTGGGCTCACTTATGGGGTGGACCGGCTTTGGACTCACTCATGGGACTGGGAAGAACCGCCCCAGTCCCATATGCGGTGGAGTGTAGCCGTTCCAGTGACCGCCGACTGGGGTAGTCCATTACACGGATTAGGATATACATACCTCCGCCGCCACCCAGCTGACTGGAGCGGTGTGGCCAGGGGTCAGTGATTCCGTAAATACCTGCGGCCACCGCGCCGTCACGGCATTCCCTGGAATACGGGAAACGCAAAACGTGATGTGATTTAGTCATCAGACGTCATTTGTCGGCGGGAAAACCCTTATTACTATTTTTCCATCGTAGCTTGTTGGCTGACAGTACACCTCACACCAAGCATCATCTGTCGGCTCGCGCCGCAGTCCCAATCACCCATATGTTAACCCTCGCATGTGTGCGGCGTTTGCCAGCTTCTAATGTGTAGGGGGGGATCGGTTGGACCCCCCCTTGCCGTTTGGCCCCTGATCGAGCTAGAGCTTCGCGGAAAAAACGAGCGTGTTGCCCGTGACGAGAGGAAGCCGATGATACCCAATTTTAAGGTCCTAGGTCATTGGTTGACCTTCCAGGTCAGGTCAATGACTCAAAGTCGGGAAAATCGGGACCTGTTAGAAAGTCGTAAAGTGTGGCTGCTAAGAGGTTTTTCGGGGTGCTGATCACGAATATCGTGTTAGTTTTGATCACAGATGTCTTGAAGCATTTAGACCAGGTCGGGTCAGGTCAGGTCAGGTCAACCAGTAGGCGTCGTGACGGGTATTCGTAGTACGTGTCAACCGACTCTGACAGCTTCGTAACATGTTACGAAGTCACCAAAACTACTTCGTAAATGTTCAAATGGTTGCTAAATTCGAATTCAGCTCCAAAAACTAGCCTAGAAACATGTAAAACTCGAAAAAGTGACCCGAGGTCACCCGAGGTCACCAAAGGTCAATGACCTGACCTGACCTTCAGGTGACCTTGACACACACGGGAGTAACATCAAATCACATGTTTGAACGTTTGAAACCACGAAAAGCTTGCAAACACGCGGCTAGTGCGAGCCGACGTACGCGAAATCGCGATTCCGGCCAAACATGGTCTCGGAAAAGAGGTCACAGGTCAAAGGTCATTTGGGTCAGGGTCATGAAATTTTCAGGGTAGGTGTAAAATTGATCAATGCGAGGGTACTGAAAGTTTCGTCGCGATCGGCCGCTTTTTACGCGAGTTATTCGCGAAAAACCATGGGGGGGGTCCATCCGACCCCCCCCCCCTACACATGCGAGGGTTAAACTTCAATGTGTTCATAATGCGTTAAAAAATCAGCGAAATACTTTTCACAGTAGCCTGTTCCTAAACTGTCATTAATTATTATCAATTCATCATCAACTTTGTTTCTGCATCGGCGGAAATGCCTACTGATCGTGACATTAAACGCTTTATGACTGTGACATTTTAAACGTTGTTGAATACTTCAGTGACATTAAGGGTCTTGCTTCTGCCGAACTGTTAGTAATGACGTAACGTTTCTTAGGATGACGTCACTTTATGTTGGGTGTCGAGACACTGTGTAGTTAACATTAATTAGCTCAAGATGAATTAAGTTACGAATACCTTAGCCTGACTAATTGGTTGAAAAAAAAATCAGTCACTCGAGCCCTCAGTGGTTTCCGTGGGCGCTTGGTGGTGCATCAAATTCCCTTTTGCATCACCGTTTTGCGTAATAGTATAAGGAATTTGTCACACCATGACGTTCGCCTTACCTAAGTCTCCAATGTCCATGCTTTGCCTCATCAGCAGAAATGAACCACGCAGCCCCACACTACATGTGACTGCGCCACAGGTAGCTGCTAGTCCGGGCTCCCTCAGAACCTAACCGGTATTATGTCTACCGTGCGGTCCCACGACACTGGGTGCCACCGTACACGGCTCACGAGTCACGGATCGGCATCCGTGACTGTGCGGTCGTGAGAGCGGACTTCGGGACTGTCGGGGAGTGGGAACGGCCGTGGCTGGTGGCCGGTGGATGGGTGGCGGTGGATGACGGATCACGGACGATGGACCACGGACAGTAGGCGACGGATGGTGGCTGGTGGTCGGTGGATGATGAATGGTGGTGTAAGGGCTGGATGCAGTGCAAAGGGATAGAAAGGACGGTTAACGGGGGGTATTGGGGAAGAGGACGGTAGATAGTGAACATGAGGACAGACTAGACAGTGGATTGTTAGTCGTGAATCGTGTTTGTTGCTTGATGACCGAGAGATGGTGAATCGTGATCGTGAACTCTTGAATGGTGATCGGTGCCCAAATGTCCATATGTTCGATACTCAATGCTCAATGTTCAACGCTCATTGTTCGATCGATAGTTGACCGCGTTCGAGCCGTGTTCGTCTGTTGGGCTTGGGTGGACATCAAACGTTACAAGATGATGGCGGCAGAAGGTTATTCTCACGGGCACTAGCAACTGATTGCGCTCCTGTGTTCAGCGAGAGAGCAGGAAATGCTGCGGTTACCGAACAATTTGCGGCGGAAGCTGGAATATTGATAGTCGCAGTCACGATACAGCAGGGTATAGTTATCTCGCCGTTGAATGCCTGGCATTAATTTTATTAATTCGACGAAATCATGCTAACCGCGAGCAGCCCTGAGAACTGCATCTTTTAACTGATCGGCGCTGAAAAGGTGCGGTTTGAATAAAGACAACTTGTTAATGTCGTTGCTGTTTTTTCCAGTTTGTAGGTAGCTGGTAATATTTGAACCCATTACCCATGAGTGATTGGGAGCTGTGATTTTATCAAAGGACGTTTCTCGACCGTCATCTATCATATCCGCATGTCCTGCGTCCGACCGTCCGTCCGTCCGTCCGTCCGTCAGTTAGTCCATCCCTCCGTGCGTCCGTCAGTCCGTCTAGCTTGTCTCTCTCAGTCTATTCATCCGTCCATCACGTCCGTCAGACGACTCGTCTTTGATCCAACCGTCAACCATCTACCGTCACTCTCGCCGCTCCGTCCGCCGGACGCGTCTCCCCTCGTCGTTTTTTTTTCTCCCCTGCGCCTTCCCTCGGCCGGTTTCGGCTCGATGCACCATCTGTTCCGCACTCAAAGCGGGGTATTGATTGAATTTAATCATTTTTATTGCGGTCTCCCCCGGCTCGTAAACCCCCGAGTGGTCCATCCTGGATGCTGAATTGGCCGGGATGCGGCAATATTTTGGATTCCTGCTGGTCTAGCTATATGGAAAGTCAATTTATGCCAGCCAATATCACTGAGAGTCAATTGATATCTAACTGGCAGTCAAATGCTAATTTATTTCAATTTTGTAACACCTTTTGGAAGGGTTTGATAGCTACATTTTATTCTCACTTTACCATTATGTTCGGTGAATAAAGCACGTCCAATCGTCTTTCGCTAGTAGGTACTCGTATGTGTGGTATAGCCATTCCTCAGTGCCCCTCCTTTGTGAGCTGGAGTTTGGCGGCGGTGGTAGCGGCGGGCAGTGCCGGTTCGCTGCCGCCGGATCCACTCAGATCCGGCGGCAGCGGCCGCTCGTGGGAACCGCCACCCGTGGACGCTCCATAGGCCGCGTCACGGACACGGCTCACGGACCGCCGTCACGGAATAGTCACGGAACGGTCACGGTTGGTGTGTGGACAGGCGTCACGGCTGGAGTCACGAAACAGTCACGGAATAGACTCACAGTGCAGTCACAGACGAACGTCCCGGCCCAGAATCACAAGTGACGTCAGTGACGAGCGCTACACAACAGACGTCATGGATCGCCATCACTGACCGCATCGTGAACTGATGTCATAAGCTGTTCGTGATGTATTCTATTCCATAGCCTGTCACGGGAAGGTCACGAATACCTCACGGATACCGACTGGATGCGTTGCGATTAGGGATGCCAATTTCATGAAATTTCAATTCCAATTCCGATCCAATTCCAAGAATCTGCCAAGTAAATTTCCATTTTTTGTCCAAAGCGGGGGCTATTCCGATTCTTTCCCGATTTTTTTCTTGCTTTTTTGCGTACATTGTAAAAGCGCATTGGCCTTGTGTTCCGATGAATTTCCGAAAAATCTTAAGAATTCCGTCCAAATTCCAAATTGGAATTGGACAAAAATTGGAATTCCAAGAAAAGAAATTATGATTGGCACCACTAGTTGCGATGCTGTGTTCTGCTGATGCCTCCAAAGAGTCATGGTTACGGCATGTAACATCACAAAAGGGTCTCTGCGGGATGTTTTACGAGACGGCACGTCACATCGTCACTCTCTTGCATCACGGACTGTAGTTTTGTCTCCACATCACAGCGCCACGTGAGCTTTATTATAAAGCCACATCAGCTTTAACAAGACAAGGATGGTTGTAAGTACTTGGGCATTGGCGAAGGCTTCCTTGCCATCTTCTTCAGGGCAATCAACATCATGAAGCGATCTAAAACGCGCCTGAATGGTGAAAAGAAGGAGCACGCTTCTGGTAAACGCCAAGGTTTCATAATTCCTCCTATATTGTACGGATGCACTCGAGCATGGATGATTTCCATATGCCAGTGAAAGGCGTAACTCATTTTTCGTATCCGGTGAATGGGACCATGACATCCCAGTCGCCTTTTTGTGTGTCGTCCATTTCCCGGACATTATAGTGTGTGAAACGTCCCATTCTGTGGTTAGATGCGCTCCTTTACATTTCAATGGCAAACTCCGATTCTAAATCCGGCCTTTGACACGTTTTTGCAGCGTGTTTGAACAGGATATTCAGCTTCTCTGTAATACAACTGAAGCCGTTGACATACGAGTAGGTATGCTTCGATACTGAATATGCATATCTTACATATGTATATCTTTTAAGACTTGAAGATGAGGGCCATATAACATTCTGCCTTGAAACGGAGGTGTTAAGACGTCGATAACATGTGTAACTACTTGACAAACTTTTTTATGTCAAACCATGAGTGGCATGGTGGTTAGTAAACCCTACGGAATGGTATGCAATGAGCGTGACCGGTGTGAGCGCTATGGGTGCGCCGTAGTGTCTGCTCCATCAGGCTGCCTTTGCTGTGGTTGCGTGGACCATTGGGTTGCGTGCTGGTCTCTTTCTGCTCGCGCAATGTGATGTCTGACAAGTCAGCGCTTTCCTCTCTCGTCTTTGTGTGAGCTTGTTAACGACGTGTGGCTTTGTTGCGTTCATATTGTCTTGTTTTCCCTACTGGGTTGCGTTTTTGTTGTTAATTGGCCTGTGTTTGTGTGCTGTTCTGGTCTTGCGCTGTTCTTCGTTCGTTTGTCCTTTCAGTTATTATCTTGCTCATGAAACATTTCTTTAAAGTAAAATTGTTCAACGTGTGAGATAGATAATATGTCACCTGCAACCCTCGTTAACTTCACAGCTGCGACCTTAACAGTCCACACTGAAATGCGTCGTTATATGTAATTGGCACGTTTTGCAGATACGACTACAGGAGTTACGGACGCGAGGAAAGCACTGTGTCCCCTCTCCCTTCTCATTTTCTCTCTCTATGTGTGTTTCAGGAGCGGGTATCGGCACGAGAGCCGCCCTCGTTCTACCTGGCTAAGCTGCGCACCTACCTGGACCCCAAGGCGTCACGCAGTCATCGGGTGAGTACTTTCGACCCGCGCGTACGCCGTACGTGTGTTCCTTCGCCTCATCGTCTCCTTTTCCGCCCCATTGGCCACCCTTCATTCATCCACTCTGCTTGTCTTCCTGGTGATTACCGCCTCGCTCCCAGTCTTTCCCTTCGTGCCCCGCGCCTGCCAGTGTCTCGCCTCTCTGAGTGGTCTGAGAGACGTCTCCTACCCCTCCCCCTCCTAGTCCGTTACCGGCTAATCCCTGGCTGCGCTACCTCCTCTCTGCATTTATCCCTCCATCTCCCTCCCTCTCTCTCTCTCTCCCTCTCTCCTCACCGGCTCCGTCTCTCACCACTGGCGCCCCAGACCAGGCTGCCGCTGGGCCTGCGTCCCGTGCGGTGGCGAGGAACGGTGCCGACGGAGCCCAACCGCCCCGTGACCCGCGCCGCTGGCTGCTGCGGGTCGTTGACGCCCAGGGCCGGAGCGTATGTGGTGCGCGCGGCTGTCACCTGTACCCCAGCGGCCGCCGTCGGCACGTGACAAACGGTCTCCAGCCGCCGCCGCTGCCGACGACACCGCCACCGCCGTCGGGGCAGCAGCCGCCGTCTACGACGGGGGAGGGGGAGGGGTACACGGCGGCGACGGGTGATGTGTGACCTGACGGAAGAGGCGGCGGTTGGTGACGGAGGGGAGGGGCGCGTCACCGTTTCCAGATGCTGTCTGTCGGATGTTGCGGTCGTCCTGGCCTGGTGTCGGTCCGGCTGATGCACCGGCGAATGGAATCGCCAGAGACTGCGGTCTGTTGTGGAAATGGCTCGGGCGAACACGGGGATGCGGTTTTGTGATGAAGTTGTCAAACAAAAGAAATATATCGATTCGTTGGATCGTCTTGCGCCGTACCAAGTATTCAAAGTTTGGAACAATATGGCGAGTAGGAATGAAATATCATTTTGTCTTCAACCACTGAATGTGTCACATCTTCCCGTGTAGCAGCCGTTTCACGGGCCAATTGAACACCTAGAACGCGCAAGCTCAGCCAATGCGTTTTATGTTTCATGTTTCCTATCGTAAGACATATTTCTGTGGGAACGTCCGTTCGGACAGTGGGTAGCGTTTTTCGCGGAATGATTCGCCGGCGAACCGACCGCGGTATGCAGGGGGCGGGCCGGTACCGGTGGAAGTTTTACACACGGAGAGCCGATCGGCGGCGATAAGGCGCGGGTTCGGCGCCCGGTCCGGCTCTCGACCCGTCCGGTGCCGATACCCGGTTCAGAGTTCCCATGGATAGGGATTAAGGTTATGTGTTTATCTTAACAATTCGTGGCTTTGTGCGAGGTTTTTTGTGTGGTTGTGTGAGGTTAGGAGAGCTAATGGTGATTGGGATCGCTTGGTTTTGAGATTAGTGACGCCCCCGGCCCCGTGGTGGGGTCTTGGGAGAATGTTGATCCCTTGAAGGGCGCTGATTCGATGGACCGTGAACTAGGAGTCTGGCAAATTGACTGCATAGAAGGGTGACATGACAACTTTTTCGGAAGTCTGATATGGTGACTGAGTCAGGAATCTGGCATGGCGACCAGAGCCACCCAGTGCGTTCAGGCGGACATCCAAACTGACTCAGGGCAGGACTGAATCACAGACAACGTCACCGTCTACGCCTGTCCGTTCACTAATGGCTTGTTCAACCCCTTCGCACGCAACTCTGCAATGCCTCCCCGTTCCCCGCGGCCGGCTGACTGAGTCCACCGGCTCGTTCCGTTCTGTTGACGGTATGACTGGCGAAAGGGTTGGCAGCGGCGTTGACTGGCGGCTCGACCGGCGTGTTCCGTGCAGCCTGTTTGCCTCTGCCGTCTGCCAAACAGAGCTGCCGGCCGCCTCCGCCGCCGAGTCACCGGCCTTGCGCGTTCTTTCCGTGCCGCCGGCTGTGTGACGTGACCCTGGTGGATGTAAGAGCCGCTACTGGAAACGGGAGGTCGTCAAGGTGCGCGGGCGTTGGGTGGGGAGACTGTAAGGGGATTCAATTGTTTGGGTGGTTTGGGGGATCGTTAGCCCGTACAATACGTCAAGAGGTGTCATTCAACGTGCAGCGCGACTTTCCATTGTTTCTTCCATTGTTAGTAAGCTCGCGCAAACACTCAATTCTGGTAACTCTCACGTCATCGTGCGATGCTACAGTTATACTCAGCCACCAACAGGTGCCACAACCGTCTTACACCGTACGAGGCGTCTGTAGGGCGGCCTCGGCGCGGCTCCCCGAACCGGGCTGTGACCGGGTCCAAACAATGGCAGGTGGCCGAAACCGGACCGCGGCGGTGTCAGAACACGGTCCTGTTGTCCATTTGTGCACGCGATCGCCGAGCGTGCAGTGATTGATGGCCAAAGAGGATGTCGCCGACAGGGATTCGATGGTCCAGGAGACGGGATGGGGCTGAGAAGTAGAACGTTGAGTGGTGATAGATGTGATGCACCATTTGGTCTTCCGTACATTGTTAAATACTGAACAGTTTAAGTTGTGCTTACTTTGCAATAATTGCTGCCTGCTGATTGAATGTTAGAAGCAGCCTTGCCTTGCTTGTAATCTCTTCAGTGGAAGCTGAGCAGCAGCGCTGCAGAAGTTTTTTTTGTAGGTAGATTTTATTTTGCGGTCCGTGCGATGGTATGTGTATGCGGTAGGACGTGACCGAGCCGTATGCTTGTTACATCGGCGAAACAAGACATTACGCCGTCTGAGGTGATATTTTTGTCGTGGTGATGACATCATCGATCACTTGTGTGTGATCACTGAAAAAAATGTTATCAGCGACGTAACGGCTTCTGCGAGATGCAAGATTCACGTCCAGTTGTACCTGCTCCCCTAAAAATATAGCCTGTTCCCGAAGAGTCGTTCTGTGTCTTATTATCCAATACCGGAAGCTTTTGTCAGGTCGCCGGACAGGTAAATCAGGTTCTGCTGCGCTAGGTCAGGTCTGTATGGCCAAGTTGTCCTTTCCGCTCACATGTAAAGGATCGGTCGCTGCCTATCGGTCGTTGCTCTGATCGTCTGCACTGCCTTGCCCTGCACTACCGCCGCTGCTGGGGGTGCACCCATTACCGTATGCAGTCCCCCTGACACTTGTTTATAGTTGCGCTACCTGCCCGTCTCAGCTGTTTATAATCTCCGTTCATCGGGACCATAAACTCCGGCATCAGGGCGCCGTTTTCGAAATCTGCACGTGCAGTTTTTTGCCCCGACGATTCTGCTCTCTTTGTGTAATGAGCTGGCGATAAAAGGATACATCCCGGCTTTTCACGTGGAATCGCATCGCATGATGGCTGGTATTAAATTTCACCCCATTCTCTGCGTTCTGACCGGGTCATTATTCAGTTCGAGGTCGGTGACTATTGTCACGAGTCGAATCTGCAGTCACGGACCTGACTTTCTGGCAGCAAAAGTCCAGGGCAGCGTGGCGTGGTGGCAGCCCGGACATAGTCGAGCTTTCCAGCACGGGGACGGAACTGCACGTCTTCAAGCCTGCAATCTGTTCAGTGTGTCCCGTGCAACTGGCGCATACCTGTGGCGCACGTGACTGTGACGCGGGGGGGGGGGGCGGTGTGGGCCGGCCCGGGTGGGCGGGATGCGCGCGTTTGTGCGTGTGTGCGCAGACCGAGTCCCTCGCCTCCGACCTGCACGGACCGGTCCGGCCGCGGTCGGCGCGGTCAGATCAGGAATGCGGGGCCACCGACCCGGCATTCTGAACGCGCACAGCCGCCATAGATGCTGCTTTACATGATAAAGCCGAGCGGGCCGCCGTCTGTGGCCTGTAGCGGTGCTGTGACAGGAGCAGCTGCAGAGGTGAAGCGGCCGGCACAATACCCTCCTGTCAGCGCTACCCTCCCCTGTCATACACCTCACTTCTTATATGGAACTCTGCCATAGACTGGCATAGATTCTCACTATACTTTGATTCCGCCTAACAGACTGTTACCTGTATACCTAGCATTGCCACATGATAACTGATTACGCCCATGGCCCGTCAAAAGTTCAACCACCTTGCTGACGAGGCTGCCGTCCACGCCTGCGACGTTCCCTCCCTTACGTGGTCTCCTGTCGTGTTTACTTTGGCCTGACTCCTGCAGTGGCCTCCCTGCCTCACGGCCCTGCTCTTCTGCCGCCGCTGGCCGCTGACTTCCAGTTTTTGTCCGCACGCCGGACTATTGTTGATCGCTCCGTTTTGGGGCACGTTCGGCATGTTGTCGGCCAAGTGAACCGGACCGCTTGCCGTTGGCTCCTGCCGAGAAAACATACACCCCAGTCTTGGGTCTAGTTAAGGCCTAACTGTTTGGTGCTTGTCAGTTGATAATTAGTCGGTTGATGATAGTCAGTTGATAATCGCTTGTCAACTGCTGGAGTATGGTGTATGTGTGGGCTTAGATGCAAAAGATGCAATTATTTTTATTACACAAACATGTGAATTTGATATGTTTAATGGGAGCACAGTGTTTCGTCTCATGTTGGTTCTGACGACGTTTGTTCCCCGGCAGAAACGGAAACTGATGGGCGACGCCACGTCAACACAAGTGCTGCGAGATCTGGAAATATCGCTCCGCACCAACCACATTGAGTGAGTACAGATTGTTATTTCCCTTTTCAATCCACCTACACTTCAACTGGCACTCCCGTTCGGTATCCTAATCAGAGTCAGCAGATCCCCATTTTTTTTTTTTTTTTTGTGAGACAGCCTGGTGAGATTCCAAATACCACCACCATCTTCGGCGACCTCTCTTTTTGGAATGCCCACGTTCCCTGCCAATTTTTGCGAGGTCCCGCTGCTTTTACGTCTCAGTCTTGGCTGGCTGCCACGTTACCACAGCCGCGGTGATGCTCGCTGGATATGGTGCGTCCTGTTGGCTCACCGCAGCGCCACGAGCTCCGTGTTGCGCCACCGTCTTCATTACGGCAGCGCCACCGGGGCTGCCTCGGCCCCAGGTTCCCACCACGGCGGCGCTCCTGGTGGGGCCGTGGCGGCGACTCGGCCGCGCGGGCCCGTTTGTGAATGGACTCACTCCGGCGGTCCGGCCGTCGCCGTCGCTCCGGTAATGACCTCGGAGTGTGGACCGCCCGCGGCGCGGAGCCGAGCGGCGGCGGCTGTCATCACACGGCCGGGACGGCGCGCCGGCCGCTATAAACTGTAAAGTGACTCCGACCGGCCGGTCGGGGATGCGACCGAGGACCGCGCGGCTCTCGGTCGGCCACCGCCACCGGCCGGAAGCGGTCCCTTCCGGCGAGGTTCGGACGCTGACCGCTCTGTGGGTGAGCGGGCAGGGTATGGTGAGCGCACCGGCCACACTGACGTGACGTCAGCACTCGGCGTGAGGGGAACAAGGATAGGGGGGGGGGGTGGTAGGATGGAGATTATATTTTTTGGAGTTTTGTTAGGCTTCGCACCTTCGTCATGTTCGGAATGTTGAGACTGGGAGATGGGCCATCTCCACTGACACAAGTAACCATATCTTGACTCAGTTGGTTGTGAATCTTCATTTTTACCTTCCAAATGATGTTTCAAGCCGCATTTAGGGGCTTGGCTACATACGTCCAGCATAGCTGTCTCGTTTGCCGTCGCTGATTCTTGGTCAAACGTCACGGCATCTGTGTTCATCTCTCCGCCGATGCGCGGCGGTGTATCTTGACTAGAGTTGGACAAATCCATGACAGCCAGCGCCGTCTGTCGATGGCCGTGGGATCCTCCCTCCGGTTTGCCCGACGCTGATTGGCCAGTGAACATGACCTCTGACCTTTGGACGTCTGAGTCAGCCCGGTGGGATTCCGGCTTGGGACACCGTCCCGTCGGGTCGTCTGGGACGAGCTATGGTGGTGAGCTACGGAATGTATTGGATGTCGAATGTCACTCGACTGGAGCAGGATTCCTGCAGACATGGTCTGGATGGCTTCGGCATGCAGCATAGGATGTAGCTGGGCAACCCGCAGCAATCGTCTGTTCGCGATAGCTTCTTAAAGCTGGGTATCGATTGTCGGTTATTTGCCATGTCATTGTTCCCCAGCAGCTCTTTGTCATTTCAACTGAACAAGCATCACTTCGTGGAAGTTGTCATGTAACAGTTTGGAAATAGAGGACAAATACTAGCGGGTCGACATAGAAACGACCTCGAAGATGCTTGAAACAGCACTGATTAGTGATTCGTAGTCCAGATTAGTGCAGGAAAGCGTCAGGAAAAGACGTCACATGTCGAGACTCAAACTCTCCTTGTGCCGTATGAAGGTGTGGCGGAATGTCCACGGTTATCTCCTCTCTGTGCAGCATGTTCAGAGTCAGCTCGAGATGCCTACTCCGTCAGTCAGCAGTTGTCTTTACTCTTTGTCCCAGTATTTTGGAAGTGGTTCTGTGTAGTGGTTCTCGATGTCGTGCCGTGTCTGAGGCGATCCTCCTCACGCGAGGGTGGGCGGATGGAAAGGGCCGCTCTGCAGGAAAACTGACCGAGTGGCGGGTATATCAGAGTGCCTGATCGGGAGTGCCGACTGGGACGTGCCAGTTGAGAGGCAATGTATCCGGGAGCGGGACTGTCGGGGAAGAGTTGAGGCTGTGATCTTCGGTGTTTCCCAGCGACTTTACATTCACCGACTGAAGAACCTGTTGAAGAACCTGCTCAATATCGAGCGTTGTTGGTCAGACAGTGATGGGGCCAGCAACTTGCCAAGATGGGAGGCTCGGGCCTGGGAAGGGAATACAAATTGGGGAGTTAAAGCTTTCGTCGGTCGTCATTTAGCTTCCTGTCCATTCGTCGACCCATCGTCGCAATGTCATGCAGCGCCACTCGCATTATTTCCACTGTGTAGCGACCTGCGCCGTTCTACTGACGCCATGTCTCCTGCCACTGACACCGTGTCACCGACTACTGACACCGTGTCACCCACCGCTGACACCGTGTCAACACGTCTTCTCCGCGCTAACGGATGAGGTGCGCACCCGCTGTCGCACGCCGTGCCCGGATGAATGAGCGCCTGTCCCGCGCGTCGCCGCGTCCTGCTGCGCCGCAGACTGGAGGGTGTTTGTGTCCACAGCGGCGGGGTGCCTCCGCGGTGGTCGGCAACCCACCCCCGCTGGGCTTTGTCCACGGCCAACGCACGCTGACTCGTGGCCTGGAAGGTGACAGAACGAATGGCTTGGTGTGTTAGTGGAGGCGGAAGGCGTGAAAGACGCTTTTCATGAAGAATGAGAGGACGCAAATGTGAAGTGAATTATGATACATCCCTTCGCTGGTTCTCGTCATCATATGCAATGCCTTTGCTATCAATGCGCTCACTATTGCTTTCTACCGATCCTCTGTCCATTAGCTAAGAGGGTAGCCCGAGCCACCAATCAACTCATAGCGGCGACGCGGCTATGGAAGGTTAGGACCCTGCCCGGGCGCCACTGAACGTGACCGGAGCAAAGGGAGACGGGGGTCGGAGACAGATAAATCACCCCGCCGACAGACGCGGAGCAGACCCTGACTAGGGGTGGTGCGAAGGGGAGTGTAGGAACGGGCGCGCCGCTGGCAGCAGAGCCGAGAGGCGCGAACGGCAGTCGTCGACTGCGACGGACGGCGAGTGGAGCAGAGAGTGGGCGAGAAGTGAGCTAAGGAATCCGTGTGGAGTGCCAACGGCTACGAGGATTATCCGATCACGCACTCCTTAACGCCGACATGGCCGCCGGCGAGTGGAGCGGAGAGCGAGCGAGAAGGGAGCCAGGGAAGCTGTGGGGAGTACCAACGGCTACAAGGATTCTATGGTCAGGCACACTAACGCCGGCACGGCAGGTGAGGCGTATCGAGCACGGCTCGGGGGTACGTACAGCGGAGTGCGGTTCCTTGGCGGCGACACCACGAGGATGGTTGCCCGGCGACTGACGCGGCGCCACCATGAGGATGGTTCCCAGGCGACTGACGCGCATCTATTCAGAGGCATACTAAGCGCACACACAATCGTAAAGGAAACCGGGGAGCCTGGTAGGCACGCTTTGAAGGGTCGTGCAACGCGGCACCCCAACCTGCGACGCGATACACACAAAACACCTGGTTCCGGCCACCCTACAACTCATGCACACACATCAGGTCCGCCGCCGACCCCTCGGCTACTCTGCAACTGCAATGCGTCCGACGCCCCGGCTACTCCGCACTGCACATACATCAAGCCCGCTGCCGACGCCTCGGCTACTCTGCAACTCACGCACATAAATACTCATGCACATGCATCAGGTCCGCCGCCGACGCCTCGGCACGCACATACATCAGGTCCGCCGCCGACGCCTCGGCACGCACATGCATCAGGTCCGCCGCCGACGCCTCGGCACGCACATGCATCAGGTCCGCCGCCGACGCCTCGGCACGCACATGCATCAGGTCCGCCGCCGACGCCTCGGCTACTCTGCAGTAGAGATGTCCTCGGATACAACTTTTCGGTATACCGATACCATACTGATACCGACTCGGTACTTGCTATTTGATTCCTAATGTGTTCGGTATTTTGTTGGTATAATGCACCCTAGGTTGGTACTTGGTTTTGTATCGGTATTCCGATTTTCCGTAGTCGACGTCCTACTCTGCACCGCACATACATCAGGTCCGCCGCCGACGCCTCGGCACCCACATGCATCAGGTCCGCCGCCGACGCCTCGGCTACTCTGCAGTAGAGATGTCCTCGGATACAACTTTTCGGTATACCGATACCATACTGATACCAACTCGGTACTTGCTATTTGATTCCTAATGTGTTCGGTATTTTGTTGGTATAATGCACCCTAGGTTGGTACCTGGTTTGGTATCGGTATTCCGATTTTTCCGTAGTCGACGTCCTACTCTGCACCGCACATACATCAGGTCCGCCGCCGACGCCTCGGCACCCACATGCATCAGGTCCGCCGCCGACGCCTCGGCTACTCTGCAGTAGAGATGTCCTCGGATACAACTTTTCGGTATACCGATACCATACTGATACCAACTCGGTACTTGGTATTTGATTCCTAATGTGTTCGGTAATTTGTTGGTATAATGCACCCTAGGTTGGTACTTGGTTTGGTATCGGTATTCCGATTTTCCGTAGTTGACATCACTACTCTGCACTGCACATACACCAGGTCCGCCACCGACGCCTCGGCTACTCTGCAACCCACGCACACACATCAGGTTCGCCGACAACGCCCCGGCCACTCTGCAAATCACGCACATACATCAGGTCCGCCGCCGACGCCTCGGCTACTCTGCAAATCACGCACATACATCAGGTCCGCCGCCGACGCCTCGGCTACTCTGCAACTCATGCACTTGCATCAGGTCCGCCGCCGACGCCTCGGCTCCTCTGCTACTCATGCACACACATCAGGCTCGCCGTCGTATAGCCTCAGCCACCCCATAAACTCTGCACCGGCATGGGTCGAGAATATGGTATGGCAGGCATGGCACGCGCCACACCAACTTAAAAGATGGTATGGCAATGCCATACCAACTTTTTCAGGGTAAAAGCTACGAAATTTAAGGTTTTCAGTTTGATAAGAATAAAACACGATAGTATTGTTTCAAGCAACTGGCGCCATACCAACTTTGAAAACAATTCTCCACCCATGTTCGC